GATACTATTTATAACAACAAAAATATTCTAAAAATCGATTTATAAATGAATTCTAAGATCAAAAATTAAATAGTGTTTATTCTGGAAATACAGGTGCTTGCGTTTTATAACTCTTATCCGTATGACAAGAAATTATTATAGTTAAATACATTTGTTAATATAAATTCAAAGTTCAAGGGGTAATTGTTCTGGAGATAGCCACGCTAGAGTTATGAACAGGTGTGTAATGATAAGAAATATATATTTGAAGTTTGAAGTAGATACCTTAAAAAGTACAGGGTTATAATATGTCCAAAAGGAGAATAAGTTCAAAGGGAGATAAATCTAAAAAAATTGTTTCCAAAGTAATGAACCTTGTCATTTAAGTAGTGGTTGGTGATAAAGAGGATATTTGTTTAGTTCAGTGTAAGGTCGGAATATATTTCACCGAGTGAGCACCAAAAGGTATAATTTACGAGTGGCACAGCCACTAGTGAAATATGAACTTTTGGTGTTCAAAAGGTGAAATATATTTCGATCTTACACTAAACTAAACATATTTTCTTTTTATTACATGCAAAGAAACGTTTTAAAAAAACATTAAACCTAATACTGAATGAAAAGCGCGCCAAATAATAATACAACGTGACGTCATTTACGACGTCACGTCATTAAGTTGGTACCCAGTACTGTGCACGCTGGTATTTCACTTAAACAAAGTAAGGGGCTTAAATTCAAAGCAATGAAATTATCAAATTGGTAATTTCACTGTTTCACTTATATCACTGATATATTTCTATAAACCACCGAAAAGCATGTATTTACAGAGATATAAATTGAAAGTTTGAGGTAGATACCCTTAAAACTAAAGAAGTTATAGTAAAAAAACAACATTTTCAAGTAAAAAAGGTTCATGGGGAGATAATTAATGTAATGTGTAATGTGAATACAACTGTGCAATTAATGGATTTACTCGGATAAACGGTTAATTAGGAAAAGTCGGTGCTACTACTATATTTCTGCGTCTTTTCCTATTGTGATATCATAATCAACGTTGTTCTCCCTTCTCATAATTAACTTGACAGCAATCATTCATAGTTGAACACAAATTCTACCAGGCCGAATTTATCAGAACACTTAGTAACTGTAACGTATTATGATTGTTTTTCTTATTTCCAAAGTATTAACTTCAAGGTAATATTTAACTAGTGTAGCTGTCCAAATATTATTTTTCAAGTTGAATAATAGATAGAAAAGATGATTTCGTGAAACATTCAGCTGTTAAGCGCCGATGAAAGTTTTGTAAAGTCATAATAATCATAGCAGTGCAATTTTTAGCTATTTTAGTTTTGTTAGTGATGATACGATATTCTAACCAAAAAAAAAAACAAACTCAAAAGTGCATAAACATTTATTTCATAATATTCTATGAATTATTTGTTGATTTATTGCAGCGTTTTCACTAATTCAATGCGTGTCCATATTAAGTTTGTGTTTATTTATCATTTTGAAAATAATATAATAATATGTATTATTCATTTTTGCTGAATGTTTTGAAAATAGCAAGCTTTGCTATTTTTGCATGTATTATTTCGGCCAATAAGTAAAACATGTGCATTTCATACAAGTTCAACCTTAATCTATTTTGTTTTCGTAAGTAATGATATTCTCATTTTATTATAAAGTAGATACATGCGTTAAAGAGCAAACCTATGCAAGAAAAAATGCATTCTGTTGCCTGATTGGATAATATATCTTTTTTTCATCAAAACTGTTAAACAATTTTAAACCTTGTTATGTATCTGATACTTATGATCTAAAATGGTATTTCAAGTCGATTTTGTTCTTGTTGAGTGTAATAAAGTTGTTGTAATGATATTTTGACTCAATACAGGAAAATTTAGAATATTGTGTTGTTTCTTTTAAATTCTTTGCTTCTTTTGTATAAAAGACCTGAATGAAAACACTTTGTATATAGAAATGCATAACGTTTTCATATTTAGTTATTCAACAATACAAAGGATAAACCTTGAAAAAAGGGAGATTCCTCAGAAGCAATGAAAGCAACAACATAATATGAAAACTGCAGACTTCGTTTTATTGAGTCTGTTCATAAGAGATAATGTTTGAGTGCAACAAATCTTATGACCCCTAGGACACTGAAATGAATGCGGGAAACATTTTTACATTTGTCAAACGACACACGCCACTTGTTTTTGAAGTATAAAAATATAGGAAAGGGGGATTCCACAGAAGTAATGAAAACAACAAAATTTAAAAGTGCAGAATTGATTGTGCAACATTCTCATGACCACAAGCACCAATTTAATCGTTTTTTAAGTCCCAACACTAAATGTGCTGGAATCAATATAATGACACTAAAATGTTTACATTTTGTCAAACGACACATGATAAAAATATAGAAAAGGGTGGATCCCACAGAAGCAGGGAAAGCAACAAAAATATAAAGTGTCGAATTGATTGAGTCTGTTTATGATAAAATATGAAAAAGCAACAATTCTTTCCAGTTAAAATCTTGTATGTATTTATTATTGTTATGATTGTTTTAATGATTGTTTAATAAATGTTTATATTTAGGATCTTTAGATACGCTGTATTGTTACTTTAAATAATAAAGCTTATACGGTAAATTTGTTTCAAGCCAGAAACGAAATAGCCAAATAATCGGCTTTAATAAACGTTGCCTTGCATTATATTTCTGCGTCTTTTGTTATTGTGATGTCAACTTTGTTCTCCCTTCCTCATAATTAACTTGATAGCAAACATTCATGGTAAAACCCAAATTCTACAAAGCCGCGATTGAAAGAACACTTAGAGAAAACTTTATGCTAGTACAAAAATATAGTTTATTACTTACTATATAAAGAAATCATCTTTTCTGAAATAAATAAAAATGAAATAAATAATATATATTTGTAAGCTGATGAACATGAAAATTAAATATAGTAACTGTAATATATAATGATTTTTCTTTCCTGTTTTCAAAGTATTAATTCAAGGTAATATTTAACCACTGTCACTGTCCAAATATTATTTTGCCAACTGTATAATAGATAGAAAAGATGATTTTGGCAAACATTCAGCTGTTAAGCACCGACGAAAGTTTTGAAAAGTCATAATAATCATAGCAGTGCAATATTTAGCTATTTTAGTTTTGTAAGTAATGAAACGATATTCTAACCAAAAAATATCGTTTAAGAACAAACTCCCAAATGCATAAAACTTTATTGCTTAACATTCTATGAATCATATGGCAATTTATTGCTGCGTTTTCACTAATTCAATGCGTGTCCATATTAAGTTTGTGTTAATTTATCATTTTGAAAATAATGTAATAATACTTATAATTCATTTCTGCTGAATATTTTGTTGCTATTTTTGCATGTATTATTTCGGCGAATGAATAAAACATGTGCATTTCATACAAATTCAACATTTAACTATTTTGTTTTCGTAAGTAGTGATATTCTCATTTTATTATAAAGTAGATATATGCGTTAAAGAGAAAAACTATGCAAGAAAAAATGCATTATGTTGCATGATTGGATAATATATCTTTAATTTCCACAAAACTGTTAAGCAATTTTAAACCTTGTTATGTATCTGATACTTATAATCTAAAACGGCATTTCAAGTCACTTTTGTTCTTGTTGAGTGTAATAAAGTTGTTGTAATAATATTTTGAATCAAGAACATGAAGAAAGGAAAATTTAGAATATTGTGTTGTTTCTTATAAATTTTTTGCTTCGTTTGTTTAAAAGACATGTAAGAGAACACTTTGGTAAAAGTAATGCATAAACTTTTCATAATTATTTACCCAAACATTCAAAGGATAAACCTGTAAAAAAGGGACATCCCTCAGAAGCAATGAAAGCAACAAAATATTATGAAAACTGCAGACTTCGTTGAATTGAGTCTGTTTATAAGAGATAATATTAAAGTGCAACAAATCTTATGACCCCTAGGACAAATTTAATCGGTATCCAATTTCCAACACTAAATATGCTGGAATCAATATGAAGACACTGAAATGAATGCGGGAAACTTTTTACATTTGTCAAACGACACATGCCACTTGCTTTTGAAGCATTAACATGTAGGAAAGGGTGGATCCTTCAGAAGCAGTGAAAACAACACAATTCTAAAGTGTATAATTGATTGAATCTGTTTATGGGAAAAATATGAAAAAGCAACATTTCTTACCAGTTGAAATCTAGTACGTATTTTTTATTGTTATGATTGTTTTAATGATTGTATTTATGTTAATATTTTGGATCTTTTGAAACGCTGTATTGTTACATTAAATAATAAAGATTATACGGTAATGTTGTTTCAAGCCGAAACGAAATAGCCAGTGAACTTCGGCTTTAACAAACGTTGTCTTGCATTACATTTCTGCGTCTTTTCCTATTGTGATCATCATCATCTTTGTTCTCCTTTCTCATAATTAGCTTGATAGCAATCCTTTATGATTGAACACAATTTCTACCAGGCACAATTTCTAAGAACACTTAGAAAAAAATTTATGCTTCCACAAAAATATAGTTTATTCTTACCAATTGTGCAATGCTTCAATTCTGAAATAAATAAAAATAAAATAAATAATATAAATAATTGTTAGCAGATGAAAATGAAATTTAAGTAAAGTAACTCATATGTATTATGATTGTTTTTCTTTATTTCAAGGTACTAACTTCAATGTAATATTTAACCAGTGTAACTGTCCAAATATTATTTTTCAAATTGTATAATTGATAGAAAAGATGATTTCTTCAAACATTCAGCTGTTAAACGCCGATGAAACATTCTATAAATCATTTGTCAATTTATTGCTGTGTTTTCACTAATTCAAAGCATATCCATATTAAGTTTGTGTTTAATTATCATTTTGAAAATAATATTATTATTAATTATTCATTTCTGCTGAATATTTTGATTTTTGCGTGTATTATTTCAGCGATTAAGTAAAAAATGTGCATTTCATACAAATTCAAAATTTAACTATTTTGTTTTCGTAAGTAGTGATATTCTCATTTTATTATAAAGTAGATATATGCGTTAAAGAGAAAAAGTATGCAAGAAAATTGTCTGATTGGATAATATATCTTTAACTTCATCAAAACTGTTAAGCAATTTTAAACCTTGTTATGTATCTGATACTTATGATCTAAAGTGGTATTTCAAGTCGATTTTGTTCTTGTTGAGTGTAATAAAGTTGTTGTTATAATAATATGATTCAATAAAGGAAAATGTAGAATATTGTGTTGTTTCTTTAAAATTCTTTGCTTAACTTGTTTAAAAGACTGGAAAGAAAACACTTTGGTAAAAGTAATGCATAAACTTTTCATAATTATTTATCCAAAAATTCAAAGAATAAATCTAGAAAAAAGGGAGATTCCTCGGAAGCAATGAAAGCAAAAAAATAATATGAAGACTGCAAACTTCGTTTTATTTAGTCTGCTGATCAACGATAATGTTAATGTGCAACATCTTCATCAACATTTTAAAGTGTAGAATTGATTGAGGGTGTTTATGGGAAAAATTGGAAAAAGCAACATTTCTTACCAGTTAAAATATAGTACGTATTTTTTAATTGTTATGATTGTTTTAAAGATTGTATATATGCTAATATTTTGGATCTTTTGAAACGCTGTATTGTTACATTAAATAATAAAGATTATACGGCAATGTTGTTTCAAGCCAAAAAGAAATAGCCAGTGAACTTCGGCTTTAACAAACGTTGTCTTGCATTTCATTTTTGCGTCTTTTCGTATTGTGATCATCATCAACTTTGTTCTCCTTTCTCATAATTAGCTTGATAGCAATCCTTCATGATTAAACACAATTTCTACCAGGCAGAAATTCTAAGAACACTTAGAAAAAATTTATGCTTCCACAAAAATATAGTTTATTCTTACCAATTCCGCCATACTCAAATTCTGAAATAAATAAAAATGAAATAAATAATATAAATAATTGTTAGCAGATGAAAATGAAATTTAAGTAAAGTAACTCATATGTATTATGATTGTTTTTCTTTATTTTCAAAGTATTAACTTCAATGTAATATTTAACCAGTGTAACTGTCCAAATATTATTTTTCAAATTGTATAATAGATAGAAAAGATGATTTTGTCAAACATTCAGCTGTTAAACGCCGATAAAACATTCTATGAATCATTTGTCAATTTATTGCTGCGTTTTCACTATTTCAAAGCATATCCATATTAAGTTTGTGTTTAATTATCATTTTGACAATAATAGTATTATTTATTATTCATTTCTGCTGAATATTTTGAAAATAGCAAGTTTTGCTATTTTTGCATGTATTATTTCGGCGAATAAGTAAAACATGTGCATTTCATACAAATTCAATATTTAACTATTTTGTTTTCGTAAGTAATGATATTCTCATTTTATTATAAAGTAGATATATGCGTTAAAGAGCAAACCTATGCAAGAAAAATGCATTATGTTGCATGATTGGATAATATATCTTTAATTTCATCAAAACTGTTAAGCAATTTTGAACCTTATAATGTATCTGAAACTTATGATGTGATATATCAAGTTGATTTTGTTCTTGTTGAGAGTAATAAAGTTGTTGTAACAATAATATGATTCAATAAAGGAAACTTTAGAATATTGTGTTGATTCTTTTAAATTATTTGCTTCTTTTGTTTAAAAGATTGGAAAGAAAACACTTTGGTAAAAGTAATGCATAAACTTTTCATAACTATTTACCCAAAAATTCAAAGGATAAACAAGGAAAAAAGGGAGATTCCTCGGAAGCAATGACAGCAACAAAATGATATAAAAACTGCAGATTTCCGGCTAATATCTGCCGGAATTAACCTGTAACTGTTTAATTTAAAAAAGGGTGGAGCAGTATTTACCTAGACAGATTTCATGCTTAACATTTTTTTATCTACTGTTGCTAATTCACCGTTATAACAGTCAGTCTTTTTGAAATATAACATTCATATAGCTCCACGTGACAATGAAAATAAGAGCATAATGCCACTGATTATACCATTTCTGCTCTGTGGTGTAAAGTTGTAACCCTTACTTAGAATAATATGTAGGTTTCTTTTTCAGAGTCCTGTATTTATTAAAGAACGCTAAAATAAGTAAATGTTACACCAAAATGTATTACTTAATCTTATCTTGTATTATTACGATGGGTACACTCGGAACTGAAATCAAGTACACCCAATAATATCGAGAATAGTGATGGTCCTCTTTAAATGTCAATGAATGAAGGTAAAATGTTACTGCTTAATCTGTCTTCATAGCTGAAATGACTATTACCTTATAATCTATAATGTTTTAAGATATAGTAAAGGTAATAACTGCCATTTCATGGCCACTTGCAAGGATCACCCTAAAAAGGTAGAAGATTAAAATAAAAACTTATGAACATATATACTCCTCTAAAACAATATATAAAACCAAATGCATTGACATCAATTAAGATTTAGTTTATGTATATATACATGATTGCACCACCAAACTACGCCCGACACATATTCTTGGCCGCTGTACACGTAGGACTTAATCCGCATTACTCTCTATAGTTAGTATTTTAAGTATATGTTAGTGTTCATCCGTGCTGTTCTACAGAAATTAGAAACTTCGCGACAGGAGAATGTTTCTAATTTTATAGAACAGCTACGGACAGACAGACAAGGCGGCGACTATATGATTTCCCTTCGGGGAGCATAAAAAATGAATTCCATAACATAGTATAATTATGATAAATAGTCACCATTACAAACAATACAAACTTTCAAAGAATAAAATTAAATAAAAATAATGACTAACTGTCATTGCAAAATTATGAATTTATAATGGTCGTTTAAGTTGTATCAGGTTGTGTCTTATATAATAGTAGCTATAGATATGGTTAAAATATGTGAAATTTTTACATAATACTTTTTCAATCATATCACTGGATGATAACATGCATTTTGAAAATGAAATTATGTGACATTATGCCAAAATAATTTGCAATTACTCTTTTTGATTTTATTATTTAAGTCGCATGAATGATAAATAGCTACCGTGGCACGAGAGAATCGCTAAAATATCTGCCGGAATTAACATGTAACTGTTTAATTTAAAAAAGGGTGGAGCAGTATTTACCTAGACAGATTTCATGCTTAACATTTTTTTTATCAACTGGTGCTAATTTCACCGTTATAACAGTCAGTCTTTTGAAATATATTTTGAAATATAACATTCAATTAGCTCCACGTGACAATGAAAAGAAGAGCATAATGTCACTGATTATACCATTTCTGTTCTGTGGTGTACAGTTGTTACCCTTACTAAGAATAATATGTAGGTTTCTTTTTCAGAGTCCTGTATTTGTTAAAGAACGCTTAAATAACTAAATGTTACACTAAATCTTACCTTTTATTATTACATTGTGTACACTCTTTTATAAAGACTTAACCGTTCGTAAACTACGTATATTTTTGATATAAAAAAGAGACAAAACCAAAGAAAAGCATATGTTCATGAGATAGACTGGGGTTATTATTACCTATACAAGGATGGGGAATTGTACAAATTAACCAAACATTCATTAGGGCAATAAATTTAATACAGTGTTCGAATATTTTATAAATAACGGAAAATGCACTCGTTTTAGGCATATGTCAATCAACACGCTAATATAATTAACTTTTTTAATAGCTCGACTTGCAAAGTCATCTTTATGGCATGTTCTATTATGCGATTGTATCCTGGTTCGTTTTTTCACTCCTCCGCAGGGGAAAGACGAAAACTATTAGTCAATATAAATGAAGGATAATAATGTGAAAATAACTGAAAGGTTGAAATTTTACTTTATCGAGATATTAATATAAACAAATTTACCCAATATAGATAAGGAAAGATAAAGAAATTGATGAAATAAATAGTACGTATAACAACTGGAAATGTGATGTTAGAACTTTTACAAAAAAATGTTAATAAAATTCTTATAATTGAAACGAATTAATAATGTGCTTTAAAGAAGACATCAATTTACTAATATATAAATATTAGAAAAGCTATTAAGCACTATTTATGACTGGTTTACTGTGAGCGATATAGCTTTCATTTCATGTTCATTACATAATTATGATAGTAATTTCAGGCGAAGCTTTATAGCAAACAAATTCTCATGAGCGTAGAATGATTGGCTTAACATTCAATGAATCAGTCGCGTTAATACATGCATTTATTAACCTGTGCTAGGCAAATTGTGTTTTTACGTTGCAATGAGTTGTTGATATACCCTTGTCAATAAATTAAACTAATTGTGGACAAGTATTTATAAAAGCAATCATTACTTTTTAATCATTTAAAACGCTTTTCTAATGAATACATGTTTAACTACTTTTGTTTCGTGCAAATGATCTGGTGTTAGCTTCTGGTCAATTGAGACAGCAGCTTTCATAATGATATTGCAAAAAGACTTACACAATCACACCGACAATTAACTATAAGAAAACGCGTTACATTCATTAAATGGTAAAATTTATACCCTAATACACTGAATACTATTATATGGCATATCATTACCAATGTTTTTACTATTAAATTCTCTGCTTTTATAAAAAAAATGCACTTATCTCGGAAAACAATAATATAAAAGAAGATATTTTGTAGAAAAAATGCACGTGATATAATGACAAATTTTAAAAGACAAAGCGCACCCAGGTAAACAAGGCGATGACTTCTGCCAGGTTTTTTTATTCTAGTTTACTTATAATAAGTCACAAACGATACTAACTTTAAAAGAATAGATCTGAAGTGAAAAATAATGCAAGGGTATAAGTAATATCGGGAATCATTAAATAATATTTAAGAAGCTTTTAAAACCATTTTTTTCTGTGAACAACAATAATAATCCTTTTGAATATTCTGTTTATAAATTCCCAGTAGATCTAGTTATCTCTGTTACTGATAATACGACAATACAAAGATTAAAAATATTCAAAGATTCAAATTATTTTATTTGTGTTCAAAGGCCTCCAGCCCAAAATACATAGCATACATACAACAATATTGTAATATGGTTGCGTCACCTTAACAATGTTTATTAATGCGAAAAAGACAAGTTGTTTATGTTATCCATTAAAACATATACATAAAACATAAGCTTCCTTAATGTGATTATATCACGTGTACCTATTAATACATAAAAATCATGTAGTTCTTTTCCGCCAAATACCAATTGAATAAATACATATCACGGATTTGTTTGTATTTTTTACATATAAAGAAAGCGTGGAATTCACAATCTATACTATCATTACAAGTTGTACACAAATGTTCTTCCCTTGGGTCATATTATTATGTCTGCCTATTTCTATAGCTAATTTATGGTTGGAGCAACGAAAATTACAAAACGCCTTTTTATGTTTAATTGGTATATCGTTCAACATTAAAAAGTGATTTAAATTTATTATAGTGAAAACATCTACTAGAATTCGTTATATTTTCATACCATTGTTGAGTACAACAATCAATAAGTCTTTGTTTGAAAAGTTTAAGGAACATATTCGTGTCACCAATTTCTTGAGATATCCAGACAAAACCAAAACCATATCTAAACAGTACATGTGTAACTTTGGTAACCCAACATATTCGACCTACATCGTCTAGTGACTTCAACATTAATTAACACTGTTTAGGATATCTAGACGAAGGCATGGTCAGAAGTTTACAAAATATCGTGTGCAGTTTGTCATGTACGAAATACTTAAGGGCAATCTACCACATTCCCCTAAAACCATAGCTGTATTTGTAGATTTTTTAACAGATAAATGTTTTCGACAAAAATCGTTATGCACATATTCAATAGTTTGGCTATATTCAAAACCCTATATTTGTGATCCATAGCATAAAATTGGTTTAATCATTTGGTCAAAAATTTTAAACAATT